TTCAGCGACTGTCGGGTGTGCACCATTAAGCCAACCAGGATGTATAGTACCGCAGCGATACATGAGAACACATTTGTCCGGCATCTGATCCCCAGCAGCTCCTTGAAAACGATACCAAGCCGTCACCAGGCTACTATCGTTTCTGTCATGAGGCGGTTCTGCGTCTCCTTGAGCGCGGTCTGCTTCACTCAGGACTGTGTAATTTGTACAACCATCCACTTCAAGTAAAAAGAAACCAGTTAGTTAGAGTTATGACAAAATTATATTCCTTTTTGTGAGGTATCTTATCTTTATTTTTGTTCAGTTTCCGTTATATTAGCTTATTTATTCTTATTAATTTCTCAAGCGTCTGAGCGGGCCGAAATCCTAAATCCTCGAATTTGATTGGCTAATCATACGCAGGTGACCGGTCCAGCTTTTTACGATACGGCCCAAGGGCCGGATTTTTAACCCATTGCCTAAATTTGAATTCGCTCCTAAATGTTAGCGGTAACCGTCAATCTTTTGCCTTTTTTACACATCCATCCACGATTAGTCAACGTAATTTTATCTCTGTTTACTTTAAAATAGCAAGGAAAGTCACTGTAAGTAAATTCAATTGAGTGTTTTGAAGTTGTGAGAGTTTGCTTGGTTGATTGTAGCTTGGCGCTGTAATGGCGCGTAATCCTGTGTTTCTCTCGCCGTAAAATTTGAGTCCATTTCAGTCGATTTTACCTCTCTGATCGTTGCTGTATTCAGGAGAATTTTTGTGGAATACACTTAACGAATTTCCTTGCTTTTTGCTATTCAACTTACGGTAGAAAAGTCTGATTTCAAGTGATTTTAAAAGCAATGACTGACAGAAACTTCACACGAAATTTCACACCGCAGAAACAACTTTGGAGAACTTAACTTGTGAAATAAATGCAACTAACATAAAGTAGTTAGGAAAATATCTGCTCTTTAATACACCTTTCTTTGTCTACTATCTGAGTTACTCGCTCGTTGCCAAGATTTTTTACAAATCGTTAGTAGACGGTGCGCAAGCCGATTCAATGACAAGAGCTGCGTAAACAAACACATTTATAATCTGTAAAACCAATTTACTGCAGGAAAAAAATAAACATGTTATTTGCCGGCTTAGGGTCGGCCCGTANGCCGATTCAATGACAAGAGCTGCGTAAACAAACACATTTATAATCTGTAAAACCAATTTACTGCAGGAAAAAAATAAACATGTTATTTGCCGGCTTAGGGTCGGCCCGTATAGTGAAAAAATGTGACCTCGGGCTTGAAAATGCTGCCCTCGGCCTACGGCCTCGGTCACAGACCTCGGTCACAGTTTTTCACTTTACGGACCTCTCAGCCCGCCGGCAAATAACATATATTTATTTTGTCTGATATTCTAGGTTTGTCAACCCATTTCAGGCTCACGGTATATTTTCAGTCATTCAGGTCGGCTATTAACACAACTGATAAATGCAACTTACTAGCGCCGGCGTTACCACAATAGCGACGGTACGAAAATGTCCTCTGTAACTCATACAC